TTCAACCGGATGCGGTTCTTCTCTGGGGCTAATTCCATATCTAATGTAAGATAGTAATTTCGTTTTATGTCCATTCTAATATTTATAATTCTTGCCAGGTAACCGCGAGAGATTGGATGATGGTGCTCATACAAAAGGGGTGAAGATGTGGGAAAATTCGTGCTATTGCGATAAGAATTGTTGTGAAATGTTTCAATTATGGTGAAACAATGTTGAAGTGCTGCCATAGTCTTGGCTAGCGTTGTTTCGAGCCTGGTTTCCTGACCGTTTGCGGGGTAGAATAATAAAACTAGGAGGAAATTGAAGAATATGATTAGCATTTTCTTTATTTATTTTTCTGTTTAAGTTTGTTTAAGTTTTTGTATGTTTATGATATTTATGGAAATGTAGGTGGAAAGCCTTGAACTATCTGATCGAGCTGTGCTAGACTGGTTATTAAATGTACTGCTTTACAATAAATATGTAGTCCAAAAATTATACAAGTGCAGTGAAATAATTTTATTCCTTTGTCAGAATTAGTATTGGTCGCTTCACAATATTTTCTCGTTTGGGGTCCAAAAATTAGACATGCTTAGTGAAATAATTTTATTCAAGTGGTTTGACAGGATTGCTAACAAGTGGACATGGATTGACGGGCATTATGGCAGGTTGGGTGACATGTCTTTCTTGAATCTGTATAAAATGATAAATTTTTGGACTTTGTGAATAATTAATTTCCTATAGTCCTGTGTGTGCTACACATATCTGCATGTACATTTCGAAGAAGTACAGTTATCTACTAAATGTAACTTAAAATCAATATATATTGATAAAGATAACCCAAACCAACATACATATGTATACGTAAATCCTTTTACAATAAGGACGGCAAGAGCACTGGGGATTCTCGTTTCATCGAAATTTCTATATTTCTACATACGTTTCTGAATTAATTAAAAGCAAATGTTTCTAATATAATTCATGTTTTTATGCACCATATATTGTGGCTCGAGGTGTTTAGTTACGCTCATAAACTTACTCGTAATGTTGATGATCTGTAAATCATGTAAAATCTATATTTCTCCTACCCTAAACACAAGATTTTCGAACAATGTAATTATGACAGACAACATCAATATTAAGGCAACCATGGCAACATAATTGTACATACACACATAATTGCACGTCCCACGTTCCCTTCTTCATACATACATTCACGACAATCCTACGCCACCTCAATATATTTATTATCAGGAAAACTTGACCCACTAATATTGCGGTGCATCGAAGTCAACCGGATGGATTTGATTTGAATTTCGGCCCGCCTCCAATGTTAATCAAATGGGCACGAGATTTTGGCGCGTAGAAATTCTGTCCGGTTGACTTGGTATTTCTGATAGTCCATCTTTACTTCCTGACTGTACACCCCATCATTTAGTTGTTGAAACCAGCACAAAATTTTTCAATCAAGCTTCCTTTCGAGGTGCCAATACCCCCGCAACATTATCGTTCAGTGACCGAGTATCATTTAAAGTCAACGCAGAACAAAGCTATAGGGTTTTCCAAGATGGAACACATCTTCGCAAAAAAACTCTGCTGGTTCCTAATTTTCTACTATCACCCTCTACCTCCATCTTTAATGAGAGTACATGACTTGATAAAAACAATTGTTCCTAAGTATTTTACACGGTATAAAATTGAAAGACTCGAAAAGTCACCAAATCCTGAAAATATATTCACCATTCTTGTGACCCCAGTTTTGGGCGAAAGAGAAAATATGTTTAGTTTTCTGAGGATACATTTACTTGAAATGACGTTGCTCTCCACATCACAAATTAATGAAATTTGCTGGCATGCAGTTAGCGGAATTAATCGATGTAAATCAGTCAATTTTCTATCATATCCAAATTTTAGTTTGGAAGCCTCCCTACAAAACGTTCCCCCCCAAAGGATTGGTATTATGATCGGAAAGATGAACATCAAAAGTCTGAAAACGAAATGCTTCTTAGATTTGGTGCAAAAAATACGAACCTGTTCGATAATTCTGAAATACAGGACTACATTGCTTACACAATTAGCAGATCAGTTAACGCTTCGCTGCACAATTTCACTCCGAAGGGAAGTTTGTGGTGAATAAATCCACTTCTCCTAGAGATAAGGGTACCCTACCGACAACCATCTGATCCAGGGGAACCTGAACTTCGAAGTCCAATGTGTTTAACGCTTAAATTTAGAATTTTTAATTATTAAATTGTCAGAAGGGATTAGTGAGATAACAAATGAAGGGTTTCTACAAAAGATTGAAAAGATTGATAAATGTGTATCATTAGAAATTAGCAGCCTAGGCTTTTAGTAATTGAGTTTATTTGAACTTACATTTAATTCCAGGCAGGCTTACATATTCATTGTCATGTATACCAACAAAGCTGGATTAGCAAAACGACGCATAAATTTAACTTTGACAATAATTTTTACGTTTAGACGTACACTTGTAGGAATCTGGCATAGTCGCGCATGTATTAAAGATGCTGCCAAATTAATAAAATTGCGACTAAATATTTGTGAAATCTTGTAATCTATAGGGGAAGGGGAAACCCTTAAAACCAAACTATTGAAACACAGTATTTGGTACACGTCAGTGTATACATATATATTTAAACCTGGCTTGGTGTTAGCATGAAAACCACTTTTGTCTTATGCTTATCTTTTAATTCCGTTTTGCAGACTAATTTTATACTTGTCCGAATGGAAGGCGCTCGTGCACACAACTAATCCACTTTTAATGCCCCCACATTTTACGACTTTGATGTTAAAACTACCAAGCGTTGTTTTTGTCAAAGGTACAAATAGTATATTGATAAGTATAAGAATAAGAAATCAAACAAGGCTTTGTTAAAACAATAAATCTGATAATTATGTGAAATAAAGGGAGTTTTTTATATAAAAAAATTTACGAGTTACTTATGGATTTATATGAGACCGCAAAAATAATATTAGCAGACGTTTTCCATGTAGGCAACTTGTATATTACTTATGAGACATTTTACCATTTTTTAGGAGACGCGTTAATTGCATACCTTATTTTAATACTTTAGTCATAACGGTGCATTTGCAATCCAGTTTTGATGTATGTAAATCCTACGTTTACAGAAGTAGATTTTTTGACTTGACTAAATAAATTTAAACATGCATACCTATGTACATATGTAAGTATTCAGCTACTTTTTGCTTTTTCACGTACACCAGTAGCACTAATGATAAATTCGAATTCGAGATGACATTTTAGGTAGGATTGACAAATCTTGTTTCCTGTTACTTAAATTCCATATGTATGAGGCATATCGAGCTTTATCGTAATGAAGGCATGCGATGTTGGGCTTGGATGTGGTATTATTTTGCTATGTTTAATTATGTAAAGGTATGGAATGACTGGAATAACTTAATGCCAATTTTCTAAGAGTGTGTATATAGTTTTCATAGATATGTAACTTCGCCAAATTCGTCGGAATTCTGGTCCTGTTGACGTGATCACGAAATATGTGGATAAAGACTTGATTGATTTTTACATTCTCAAATTAACCTCGAGTCCATTTGCGACTCGTACCCACAATTTGTTCATATGTACATAACCAACAATGAGTACTCAATCAATGTTAGATTACTTCATATCGTCGCAACGCTGATAACAAGTCACAAGTAGACATTGTGTATAATTGTATGTACAATCAGCGGAAGAAATTTTGCAAAAATTTTCCTGCGACGCATTTACTTGTAATCAAGCAATTGTCAAGATTCCTTTCAATTATTTATCGCAATGTGGCGATGAGTTATGTAGTCAAATTTGTTTAAACATCGTTCCCATTGAATTTACCCAAAATTTTTATATTCATATCTTTGATTGATCACCGTTCTGCATGTAATTTTATAATTATGAACAATGATATCAGGTCCGGGAATTATTCAATAATGACTGATAGTTCCCAGATTAGAATTACATAAATTCCGATATACGTATGTAAAATGCGGATGACTTCAGACCCAAAGACCATTTCTCAAAGAGTACAGCATCCAACTACATAAGGAACACAGGTAACCATGAATATTTGCTACTCAACGTTAACATTGACAGCCTTCATAGGTCTACTTTACGTGGGGAATTCGAACTCGCAAAGTACCGGGGTAACCTGCGAAACAATGCTGCTTCCTGGGGTAGATCAAGCAAATTTAGTATATAGTGAGATTTAAATGATTGACAATTAATTTATAACGTATTTAGTACGATGGATGTCCACCGTGGGAAAACGTTCCAACCTATTTCCCTTATCCGTACGATTGCCGGAGGTTCATCGAGTGTTCGAACGGCTACGCGATTGTACAATGTTGTGCAGTGGGGACGGTGTGGGATCAAAATTTGTCCGTCTGTAATCACGAAGCGTTCACCCCTTGCGTAATTGTGACGACTGAAGGTCCATCCAGGTGTGTAGGATTTATTAGTTTTTGGCATTTTATTATTTAATGCTAGCTTCCCTGTGGTAAATAGAAAGAATGTGTGTGAATTGCGTAGTAGTACTAACCTTAGTAGGGTGAAAACCTTTCCTTTTGACCGTAGCTCCGATAACGTTTGAACGAAGAGACAAAGAAACTTGAAATTTTGAACCTAAAGGTCAAAATCTGATGCTCAAACCTGATGGTTAAACTTCGTTTGCACACTTACATATGCCAGCTTAAAAGGAATTTAAATCCGAATTCACTGGTGACCCCTAACTTGACAAAGGGCATTGAAATATTAAATTTGATACATACATGTGTCGAAATTGATGAATACAGGACAGATTTTCTACGGACAAAGCAAATATGATACTCATTAAGAAAAGATGTATGTAGTACATTGAAAAGTCGGTCCGTATAAATTCATAACATTTCTGGCATCTTATAACCTCTTTTAACCAATTCATGATAAGGCCGTAATTTTTAATGATTTACCGACTGTTTTAAAACTATTTAGTCCAACGTCACCAACTACTACCACCCCAACTACAACTACCGCACCAACTACAACTACCAACCCAACTACAACTCCCACCCCAACTACAACTACCACCCCAACTACAATAACAACAACTTTGCCCCCTATTATCAATGGCACGCCTCAAATGCTTATTAACGTTCAGGCTAATATGGTAAGAATCTATTTTCAAATTGTTACATAAAATGGAAAATTAATAGTTTATACATATTGTCGATGTTGAACATAATCATGGTAACCCAAAACGTGCTTTGGACATTGATAAAAACATTTCCTGCGTTGAGTATTTATGGTCAGATTATTAATTATCATCTGATTTTCTAATAACCCTACTTTGGGCAAGACAGACTTTTTATACTTAATTGATGAACAATTAGTTGTATTGGTAAAGACCTACGTACATAGATGGCCGATAAATACGTTACAGTAAAGTCTTTACTGGATTACCTAAGATTATGAAAAGTCCTGAATCTTTCTGACCCTCATTAGAATGGGTGGAAACAGGATTTTAAAATCCTTAAAATTATATATTTATTTTATTTATATATGCTTGACATAAACCACCCTGTATATAAATTCTTGGTGTTCACTAAACATTCAAATTAATTTTTACTGCAGTCGCAACCGCATTAGTATCGATCCATAAATTATGTCACGCAAAAATCGAGATTTTTTAGACCCCCCTACCCTTTTAACTTTTGTAACATATCATTATGGCCATTAACCCCGCCCCCCTCCTCTCGCGTGACATAATTTATGGACCATCCCTTACTTGATCGCTTGTATGATTATGTACGCAGGTGTTAGACGTGTATAACGGCTACCTTACCGATTTCACCCAAATACAAACGTATCATATCGGACCAAATTGCAGCGGAATAGCGGAAGTGTGGAGGCTGGAATTCCAAAGTATTTGCATAACATATTCAATTGATTTACCCAGGAAGAGTTTCTACTAAAATTATATTTCTCAACGAAACATAGCCTTGACTTCCACGTATATAATTCGATCAGCACTTAGTGGATCAAACGCGTGGCAGCATTCCATGCACACAAATGGAACAGCACCTTATCTTCATTTAGGCGTATCTAGCGACGCCTACTGGTTCGTGGTACGAGTGAGCGGTACCAATCACTGGAATATATACAACCGCGATTACAATTCAACCGGGCGCAGTAGTCTGCGAAATACTGGGTACAGCTGCGTCTTACAATGGAACCTTTTGTCAAGCTGCACAAATATTTACTAGCGAGTTACATCACCAAATCAAGCCAAAAATTAGATATCATATGACATTCATCATTACGCTGAATGGCCCCTTTGAAGTAAAATATTGGTGGGGGGGGTCACGTGCCCCCCAAAGAAAATGAATTCTATGATTGAACGTCGCTGACAATATTTTGCTTCAAAGGGGCCATTCAACGGAAAGATAAGTGTCATGCGATTCCTAATTTTTTGCTTAATGTTTTGATATAACTCACTAGAAAATTTCGGTGTACCTTGAAACAAGGTTCAATTCTTAGTCATTTCATGAATTTATTTCCGATTTGTAGCATTACCTCGGGAAACGGGGGTAGAAATCTGGAACTGGCCCCCTTGGACCCGTCGGACATCGCACAACGGTGGGAATTATTCGTATGTCCGTAAACATTGCTGAAAGAGGAATGAAGTACGCTATGAATTTTGCAGAATTGTGTTTCTGAATGTTATTGTTTATTTAAACCTGTTTTGTATATATGTGCGTAAAATTTAGCTATCCAACTGTAATAAACCGTAGTAACGTTAGAAGCAGCTCACCCTGTCATGATGATTAGACAGAACTTTGCACCGAAGGTGCGGAATAAGCCGGCAAAATAGATAATAACTCGTATATATTCTTGCACCCATGGTGCAACAAAAACGGCTAGCCGTTGCACCGTTACTGCAGCATTAGCGACCATCCGCGATACATAATTTTGAAAACTTTGTCAAAATTGTATGACCATTTCTCCCGGATATTTTGCACTATTGGTGCGTTTTGCATCCCTTCTCTCAATTATTTCGCATCATTTTGTGTTACCGATTGTTAGATATCAACGGTGCTATTAATTTATTAAAAAATTCGATTCGGTTTGTTCAATACCAATGGTGCGCCTAACTTATTCATTAATTGTCAAGGGGATTTTTAAATAGCATCAATTGATGCAAAAAACTTGTTAACAGACGGACAGACAGACAGACGGACAAGAGGAATTCAATAGCTCCCGTGCTACGCAGGGTGAGCTAATAAGTTGTAAAATTTTTTGAGTCGTTAAGCCTAATTTTTTCAGGTGATTTGACTGCCATAATAATTAAGCTTGAAAAGAAATGAAAAGTAACACGTCGTGACAATTTTACTTTTAGAATTCTACTCGACTGAAGCACTGATTCCCAAGTTGGTTACTTTTGTTTACGAAAAATCGTAGATGTTATTAGTATTTAACTTGATTAATAAGAGGGTTATTATTTAGATTCAAATTAAAATATTATTGGATTTGGGTTTCGGTGGAAATATAAATGCCCATTTTACACCAATGTTGTAGAATAGACCAACGAAATAAAGAGGGTATAAATATGCTTAAACTTGTGCACTGGATATACACAACAAGTGATCATTACATACAGTTTTATTCAAAATTATACCGTAAAATGTTAATTTTATTGTATTTGACTGTCCATGCCATTTGAATTTACATATGAATGTGGTAAAGGTGAAAGAATTAGACCAATTTAACAGAATCACATACAGTATGTCACTTTATTGTAGATGCAAGGCATCCATGCTTTATATAAATCACAAATACTCCACAACGGGTTAATATTTCAAATTCGTTTTTAGACCAATTATTAGAAATATTTCATACTACATTCGTGCAAAATTTCAAATGAATTGGGCTAAAACTGATGAAATTATAGATATTTAAATCTCAAAAAGTTGCAAATTGCATGCCACAAAATTGTAGATGCAGCTGAATAGCTCGTTCAATATGTAGCTGGCGTACTTTTGGCGTCAATACCGGCTTGAATTCGTCTTAACCATGAATCTACCAATCTATCAGTGACACTTTGGTCGATCTTACACCACTCTTTTGTGACTATGGTTTTCGGAGAAGCTGCATTTGTCGGTTTCCGTTCTGACGATGGACGCTTCAGGCAGGGTTGCAGAAATCTCATCTCACCTTCATAAATCTCATCTCACTGAGATATAGTGAGAAATAGTGAGACATGAGAAATATGAGAAATAGTGAGATTTATGAGCCATGCACTAGCGCCACCTAGCGGACGGGGTTATGAACTACAAGTTTATCTGATTATTTCTCATATTTCTCACTCAGCCCCAACTGAGATAAATGATATAAATCATTAAATCTCACTAAATCTCACTCAGTGATATATATCACTTGTAACCCTGGCTTCAGGGTTCCCCATAAATGCTAGATCGGATTGAGGCCAGGGGATTGAAAACCCCAACCTAACACCTTTATTCCACTACCCTTGAAGCATTTTGAGCAGATTTTTTAAATATTTATATAATATTCGCCATGTTGGTAGAAAAATCTCTGACCAAAGTCCGCTTTTGTTTCAAATCAACAAAGATTTATTTTTATCAAATCAAGATTAGCCTCGTTTGCCATGATGTCAACGACGCATTTCAATGCTACTATCCCGTTCTAACGGAAACTGCCTCAAACCATTGCATTTCGGCAAGAATTCGAAAGTTTCACACCACATACTAAGTGTGCCCACAGCCAAGATTTCTTTGACACCTCTATTTTTAACAATTATCCCCAGAAATCAATTCTTCACACTTTCGATTTGCTTCCACCACACTCTGGTCACTTCATTTGAACCAGAGAGCTGATTTTCGGTCTCATCTAGGAAGACAAATTTTTTCCTGTCACAAGCGGACATCCTGAGTTCTGCCTTCCCAAATCTAAGGATTACTTGGGGCTTGTTATTCAAATCTATGGTGTTTATTTTGACAAATCTCCCGATAATTCAGCGAATATCTGCCTGGTTATAATCGATTATAGGTGGACATCAGTGCAAAGGTCACTTTGAACACTTCTCGCAATATTTGGGGTGAACAGAGGAGGACCATCCTCACCGTTCTTATAATTTTCGTGTGATCACATGGTGATGTACTGCGTTTTTGACCCCGATCGTGATGGTTCAAAAGAGTTTCGATCCATTTCCTTTTTTTGGACATTATTTTGTGAAATTTCATGTTTTCCGAAAATTTTTCCACAACTGAGCCCTTTTTTTATAACTCACGCCATTTTCCGCCCGAAATTCTAGATTGACCTCGTTGTTACGTACCATATTGGAATAAAATTTCTAAAAAATATTTTCTATTGACAATATAAACAACTGTTCTTACCCAAAATAAACATTCCCGAACAAAATTTGTATGTAGCCTGAAATAATGGGTCGTTATCGTAATTAAACTCAGCTGCATCTACAATTTTGTGGCGTGCAATTTGCAACTTTTTGACATTTAAATATCTATAATTTTATCAGTTGTAGCCCAATTCATTTGAAATTTTGCACGAATGTAGTATACAATATTGTTAATAATTGGTCTGAAAACTAGTTTGAAATATTAACCCGTTGTGGAGTATTTGTGATTTATGTAAAGCATGGATGCCTTGCATCTACAATAAAGTGACATACTGTACATATTTATGTACATATTACACAAATGTCCACTTTTTAAGTAAGTTTCACATAGGGACAATTTGTGAGGCACAGGTTGTTTAGCAGTTTTTTTTAATGTAATAAGGTGGACGTGAATGCATATATATTTGCGAATACATTATTTTTGTGATTTTGTATTTCTGTATGAATTTAATGACATAAATCTACCTAATTTCAACTCCATGGAAAACACAGCCTAAAATATAATACAAGCTCATTAATTTAAACGGCTATACTATTTATTGTAGGACCTGTCAGCATACCAGTAATTGCCAAGGCCTTGGAACTGCATACTCACATTGCTCTTATTATTTTTTTCTTTCGTTAATAAACCCAATGTGCATTATTTAAATCATTCTTACATATATCGCGCAAAAGCACACGAAGCATTGAAGAGCAAAATCAGAAGGTATTTACCCAAATTATATATGTATGCGTATTCAGTATTTACTAAGGAGGGGAGCTTGCGAGGTTGATAATAACAGATCGGCTCCAAATTTTTACCAATGATAGTTTGACATGAGTGTATCAAAACCCTTGAACGTTTTGACTCCATAACCATAAACAGGTGAGAAATTAATTTCGAAAGTTTCGAATTTTTTCCTTAGATGTGCACTTCTATCTGAGGTGTTTGGTGTTCTATGCCATATATTTGACGTATATGAAACATCTCTAGAACGGGTTAATATTTTTGAAATCTGTTTTTGGACATCGACATCTAATTTTTCGGGGGTGGGCAAGTTCGATCGTGGGGTCAATCGGACCACACCCCTTAGCGCCAGTGGGTGTGGTCAAATACATTTTTGAAATTAAGTTTCTTCTTCTCACATGGACTGTACCCCATGGTGGCCTGAATCATAAGCAGCATTACGTGACCTATCTTCCACACCCCCTCAACTCAGGGGGTGTGGTTATACTGAAAACAATAAAATCAAAAAAAGGTTATAAGCTGGTCAATAGTTTTCAATTCTGCTTTCACCGTATGGTAGCATAAATTAATACCGAGGAGTGCCGGCCACACCCCCTCGATGTCAGGGGGTGTGGTCGGGGGCAAAATGAGACTTTTACTGAAATTCAATCCGTAGATGAAATGAGTAAAAATTTGTATTCCCGCGTCGTCGGAAGTGTGTTTTGGTCAAAGTAAGACAATGATAAAATCGATTCTAGTGATGAAATGTAAAACAATTAGTATATGCTGCAACAGTTCGTCTGCCTGACCCAGCCTGGGATTTAATTGGGTTTCATGGAATTATTTGTTTCTATAAGGGTTTTAGATATAAATTCAACAGTCAATTCTAGATAATTTAACTGCTTCAATAAATGCATGCAGCTTAGTATGTGCCATGTTTTTACTGAGTAATAATGCCGTCCTTGTGTACGGCAACTAATGAAAATTACCATTACTACCTTCAATTCATTAAGTAGATACCCGGAGAAAGAAGGGAACCAGGGGTCACAAAAGTCCTACAAAGAATTGATCATTGATTAGTATTTATATTAATGTTAATATTATTGCTAATATGTAGTTATACTTGATTTTAATTATGTGACCTGTCTTATTATTAAGTGGTTTGGCTTGACATTTAGCGGGCAAAAAAATTACTTGGGGGCAAGAATTAATAGTAGTTCATTTCCAAACTGTGGGACAAGAAATCTTAATGTTAATTCTTAATCTTATTTAATTACATTTCTCTCAAGGTATTTCAAGCAAGTACTTGAAATAAGTGGGGAAAGCAATTCCAACCAAACCGAAATACAAATACACCTTGTGTCTGGCAGCAGACTATTTAATAAAAAATATGTTACATCTTGCATTTTTGAAACATCTTGGTTAAACCAGAATATGAGTGAAAATTAGGTCATGTCACGTGGAAGTCAAATTAATGGCGCTTAGCAAGTTTAAATTATGCCAAATTTTATTATAATGAAATGTATGCCAATACCATAATTTAGAATTCTTTGTGCATTCATGCATACATGTATATACATACATACATATGTGCATACATACATACATACAT